TTCAACTATATGTGTCGATGTATAGTTAATTTTTTTTTATTTTATTTCTTTTTGTTCACTATATGTTTCCAAATAGTAAAGTAGTACTATTTTATTTGTTTTCTTGTTTTGGAGAATCATTTCTCTTTCAACTATATGTATCGATGTATAGTTAATTTTTTATTTTATACGTTTTTGTTTGCTATATGTTTCCATATAGTGGCACAATGTTATTTTGTTTCTTTTTCGATAATTGTTTCTCTTTTGCAACTATATGTTTCGATATATAGTTCAATTTTTTTTCTTTCTTTTTATTCGCTGTAGATTTTCATATAATAATGTAGTAGTATTTTATTTGTTTTCTCGTTTTCGAGAATAATTTCTCTTTCAACTATATATATCGATGTATAGTTACTTTTTTTAATTTGTTTTTGCCTACTATATGTTTTCATATAGTGATGTAATATTATTTTATCGTTTCTCTCTTTCTTAAAAATTTGGTTTTTTTTGACCTATATGTGTCAATATATAGTAAATTTTTTTATTTTATTTCTTTATTTTTTTCCGAAAATTGTTTCTGGTTTCCAACTATATGTTTTGATACATAGTTATTTTTTTTTTGTATTTTATTTGTTCTATGTCTACTATATGTTTTCATATAGTGGTATAATATTATTTAGTCTGTTTTCTCATTTTAAAAAATGGTTTCTCTTTCAACTATATATATTAGCATATAGTTAATTGTTTTTTATTTTATTTGTTTTTGTTCACTATATGTTTCCATATAGTGATGTAGTACTATTTTATTTGTTTTCTCGTTTTCGAGAATAATTTTACTTTCAACTATATGTTTCGATATATAGTTTAATTTTTTTCTTTCTTTTTATTCACTATAGGTTTTCATATAGTGATGTAGTACTATTTTATGTGTTTTCTCGTTTCGAGAATAATTTCTCTTACAACTATATGTGTCAATGTATAGTAAGTTTTTTTATTTTCGTTTTGTTTACAATATATGTTTCCATATAGTGGCACAATGCTATTTTATTTGTTTCTTTTTTTCTGAAAATCGTTTCTGGTTACCAACTATATGTTTCAACATATAGTTAGTGTTTTTTTTTATTGTATTCGTTTTTGTACACTATATGTTTTCATATAGGGGTATCGTATTATTTGTTTTTCGTTTTGAAAATCGTTTCTCTTCGAACTATATGTTTGACATATAGGTATTCTGTATTTTTCTTTTTTTGTTTTTGACAATGAGTTTTGTTTGAAGTATATGCATAAACATATAGTTAATTGTTCTTTGCGTTTGTGTCATTTCGTTTGTGAGTGGTGTTGTTTTGGAGTTTGTTCTAGATATAGTTTTATAGTTTTCATGTATAGTGCTTATCTCTCTTTAGGGAAAACACTTTTGTTATCCACATATACCCCGTGACATAGTTAGTGCTCTGTCGTCGCGTTGAGAATGTAGGATGTAATCATTGGGGTACTTTTCCGGGTTTACTGTTATCGTCCTATGTTTTCGGTAGTTTAATGTAGTGTTTTGAGGAATCGATTAAAATGGGATAAGGTATTTTTGAGTTGTGAGTCTGATGTCCGCAAGTAGTTTTAGTGAGGAGTCCAGTCAATCAGCCAGGGCTCGATATCTTTAATGAAATTGTCTATATGCGGTTTGTTCACCTTTCAGAGTCTGTCGGTGCTCGTTTCAAAATTGATCCTGACCGTTTCGATGATTTTTTTCGAATTTGTTTGCGAAGAACGTTGAGTCAAATGATGTGTGATATTCGTCGTTGTCATACAATAGCTAATGCTGTTGGAGCTTGTGATGGTGGAACACACGATTTTGCATGCGCTATTTAGCTTGAAAAATAAACTTTTCTTCCATACATGAGGCTAATTAAATTCATCATTGATATATGAAAACGCAAAGGTAATCTAGGATGTATAATTTTGAATAAATCAACTGAAGACTTGCGAAATGATTTCAACTGATCGTAGAAGATCGTACTTATGCATCATACTGGAAATTTACTGTAATTCTTGCATATAAGAAATCAGAGACTACGATTTTTCGTATGATCTTGTATGATCATACAAGATAATGATGTAAGATCGGATACAAACGTACAAGAATCTGAATCTGATCTTAGCGTCTGATTTGTTGCCCTGGGAAGCGTTAAATGACATTTCAACAAGTTGGTGAAATGTTTTGCAAAGCTATCTAATTTTTATACAAAGCGTACTTTCAGAAACAATGAATTACTCAAGACTATAGAAAAAACTTGTTTTGCTTTTTATGAAAAGGCTTTCAAAAACAAAAAATAAAATAAAATACATATTCTTAATCAGTTCGACGATCTCTATTGAACCATGTATAAGTGTAAAACAGGACTTATAGGTTGTCATATATAGATGTGAACGATCAGAAAAGGAAATGCTATGATTAAAATATGATTTTATTTAAGATTTAGTTGTATTTTACATTTTCCTCAGAAAACGTCTTGTTATTCTTTTATCAACGCAACATAACCTACTGAATAGTGCTTTCTACATCTCATAGTGTCCGACATAGCTCAAGTTTTTGTGACCAGATTTGATCCGACTCTGACACCGATATCTAATAGTTTCAGAGATAAAAAGATGGCTCTCTATTACTTGCATTGTACAATTAAATGTATACATTTCATTTTTCTAATGTCGATTGTATACGAACTTTCAACTGACAGTAAAATAAATCATATTTTGTTCGTTTAAGTAAAAAGTGAATGAATGTCAATCTTTTCGTTATGAACTTGTTTAATAATGAACGAATGAATAACTAACAAAATATATGATTACAAAGAAACACCAAAAAGTATTTGACCAACTATCATACATAAAAATTTGTAAAATCAAAGCATAAGAAGTAATTACAATTGAATTTATATTTTATATTGATTTTTTGTTTCACGTAACATTCATTCGATTAGTGAATATAATCATTACTCTTACAAAATTTCAATTCTCTTTAATATATTGTATTTTATTTCATTATCACTTCGCGCCCATATTGAATATATTGTATCTTCTAAAAACTATCAATTGATGCCCTTTCAATGTCTACTATAGATGACGCTTAAAATAATTTTATTATTTGATTAGTTTATTAAATAAACCAATAAAAAAAAAATTTGTTGACACACCAGTACAGAAAAATGTTTGTTGGTTGGTCGTTTTCTAATGACATAGAAGTGTCTTGTGCAAGTATGCACTTTTTTTGAAATAATCATGATAAGACCTAATAGAAAATAAACAATTATTTTAGATTGAAATAAGCTAATGTTTTTAATGTAGACGACTCATAATGTCAAATAATCAATATGAATTAGTTCAACATTGTATTGATACGAATGAATTCGTAACAATAGAATTTAATAATCGTTATTTATTATTTCATCAAAATCTAATTCAACATTCAAATAATCATCAATTAGATTTAAGTAAAATAATTAAATATGCAAAAAAAAAACAGAACAAAAAATATAATTATTTTTTTTTTTCAATTAATTTTCTTTCTTAGAATTATCATCAATTATTGTTCGAAAAATTTTTGGCTACAATTTATTATCAATTAAAGATGCAAAAATAACAATTCATGTTAATTCATCATTTTATGATACGATTATATTTGCTGATACATCAATTGTCTATATACGTAAACGAACATTAATTAATGATAATGATCAAAATGATAATATTAAAAAATTTAAAATACTTCCATATTATGTATATGAAGATTTAGAATTACTTAAAAATATTGGAATGTCAAAAGATGATATTGATTTATTTATTAAAAAACTTAATGCAAATGATAATATAGATTTATTTAATTCAAATAAATATGATCATATTATTCAACGAATAATTAAATATACTGATATATCAACAAGATTAAAGTAAAAGAAGATTAATTTTAAGAAAAAAAATATATAATTTTTTATTTTTTGAATAATTCTAGATGTCGACAAGTTTCACATAAATGGAAAAATTTTGTTGATAGTTCAATTGCGGTAAGAATTAATTATTTATTATAAAATAAATTTATTGAACTTCTTTATTTAAAGTGGAATCATGTTAAATTATCAAAACTTTGTCGATATGTTGATCGAGCATTGAATTATTTTCAAAATATTGATATACGAGAATTGGTATGTTATCGATAAAATAAGAAGAAAATTTTAATTAACAAAGAAACATCTACAGTTATTGAATGTTCATTAAATTTATAGTTTGTGCATCAGAGTAAGACTCAATGAGATACTAAACTTTAATCTATTGAAATTATGATTATTTGACTAAAAATTTCATCTTAGACAAATTATTCAAAATGCTGATTTTGAAATCTATGTGTTAAAATGACGTCTACTTTTTTTGATGATGATTTTCAAGTATGCATACAAGAACATGATTGGTTTCTATTATTTATCAAAAATTAGAGATTTACAATCGAATGATTTTGATCCTTCTCAAGATATTCAATGATGAGCAGATGAAAGGTCTCGAATAATCATTTTTTTTCTCGACTTTTATCTATCTAAGTGAGATTCATAATGATGAAGTTTGATATTTATAGAAGGATTCTGATGAATATGAAAAACAAAATAAATAAATCTTGGAAGCTATTGAATCAAAGACAATTGTACTCATTTTCTTCTAACTTGTCAGTTAAGTCAAGATAGTTAAACGCGATTGAAATCGTAGATCGCGTTCGAACATTTGCTATTGTAGTCAGTCGCCTTTTCTATTCGATCTTTACGCGAGTGACATTCTAATTATTTAAATATTACGATTTTTTTCTAGAAATAAAAATAATCAAAATAACCCCGTTTTTCGAAACTGTTCGATATGATGAGAATATCAAACAGTTTTAATTGAATATTGAAAAATATTTTACATACTATATCAGTTTTTGTTTTTTTTTTGGTAAAGGACCTTTCTGAATCAACATTTGAAGCAACAGCATTTGAATTATATAGTCAATTTTATTTATATTCATTACGATCACTTTGTATATCAACTGATCATCCATTAGAATTATTTACATTATTATTTAAAATATCTCCATTTTTACAACATATTAGATTAATTCAAACTTATAATTCATCAATAAAATTTAAAAATAATAATCATTTATATGATTGTATTCATTTTGTTATATGTCAATGTCAAGAACAATTGAAATGTTTACGTCGTTTACATATTCAATTACGATCTGTATCTGATCAGGTGAAAAAAAAAGAAAATATTATTTATGAATTATTTAATATGTTTATTATTATTATTTTTTTTAAATATTTCAGATATTTCTTGAATCGTCTTCTGTTACGCCATTTCCCATTTCTTATGAAGTCATTACTTGTTAGCACAGAAAAAAAAATTCTCGTTTGTTTTGTTCAGATAGTTTATATTGATTAAATTTTAAATGTTTGTCTTTGAATAAATTTGAATTAATATTTTTTTTTTTTGTGTTTGATTTTAGATGGTTGAAGAAAAAACTTTTCAATTATGGCGTCGTTTACTCATTATTTCTAATATCTTTTATATACTATTGGCATTAACATTTTTATTTTTTGCCATATTTACACGAGTTAATTCTTTAATAATAGATCTTCATTTATTTGTTGGGTTACTTATATTGAGTTTATTTTTAATATTTTTATCCATATTTGGTATAATTGCTGCTGCAAAACATCATCAAGTATTATTATTTTTTTATATTATTCTTTTAGTTATATTATTTCTATTTCAATTTATTCTTGCATGTACTTATTTAACAATACGTGGTGAAAAAAAATATGATTTATTAAAAGAAAGTTATAAAAAATCAACTGATCATATACAATTAAAATATAATTGTTGTGGATTTGATAATTTAACAAGCTTTAATCGTGATGTAACATGTCAAAATTTACCTTGTTGTCATATATCAAGTCAATGTTGTGAAACATTATCTATGTGTTACATATCATTAAATAACGAACTTGATAAAAATTTACAAATTATTGGCTCAATTATGCTCATATTTACATTAACACAAATAATTATTATTTATATGACATTAAAATTTCGAAATTTTCGAAATCCAGCAATACTTATTTAATATGAATTTTGAATCTCTTGTTCTCTCTTTTGTTCTTATCTCTTGAAAATCAAAATTTTCTTGAATAGATATTTAGTTGCAAACATTATAAAACAAAAGAATAAAAAAAAAAATTTTCTTTCATTTTATAGTATCTTTTTTTTTTCTGTTTTCAGATATGTCACAACAACATTTTACAACTCCACCATCAATACTTGCAAGACAAAAAGATGGTGAAGCACCAAAAAAACAAACAAGAGAAGAATATCGACAACAAAAAGAACTTGAGGAATTACGAAAAGCTGGTTCAGCACCAGCTGAAGTTGATGAAGAAGGAAAAGATATTAATCCTCATATACCAAAATATATGACTGATGTGCCTTGGTATGTTACATATGATCATGCAAAACCAACACTTAAACATCAACGTATACATCCAGAAAAATCAAAAGAATATGATACTCTTAATGAATGGTAAGTATTTATAATACTTCATTTGAAATTGTTTAAATAACAAGAGAAAATTTTCATATCAATCAATAGTATTGATAGAAATGAATTACGAGAATAAAACTTGCCTCAGTCGGAACGAAATATTAATCAGAACATAACTCCAAAAAAAAGGACTAGTTGTCGACTAAGTCATACAACGAGTATTGAAGAATTGTTTTAGATGAATATGAATAAAGTCTGAAATAGTTTGCTCTAGACTAGAACTAAAATAAAATAGGAATATCCTTGTAAAGGATGTTAACTTTTTAAGAAACGCACTCTGTAGGTCGAAGAATTTTAATGGCAAATCAGAATGTTTTTTTATTGCAAAACTATGTTCTGTATATAGAGTTTCGATTCAAAATTTTAAAATGGAACTATGGCATTTCATTTGAAAAATTCCGTATGTTCAATATTTTGACGGCAATAAGCTCATAACCTAGATTATATTCAGGGTATTTGTAGTTCGCTCGGTTCTATATAATGTACATAGTTTCGACTAAAAAAACGATTTATCTATTGGAAGATTTCTTACTTCAGATACTGGAAATTCATTGAAAAAACTATTACATTCAAAAGAAAAGGCAAAAAATCGGCATATTCTATCATAAATTGAAAATCGAAATTCAGATGATAGTTCAAAGTATTAGAATATAGAAAAGAACACACAAAAAGATGATAACATATAGATTTATTACTTCTTAACAGATTTTTCCTTTATTTTTTTGTTTTACTCTAAAAAACATGAAATATTATATATATGTTGTAGGCAAAATTGAAATACAGGTAAATTTTAAATTTGCCTAGACAAAATTGAAATTTTAATTTTGCCCAGTCAAAATTAAAATTTCAATTTTGTCTAGACATTGCTTGGGCAGAATTGAAACTTCAATTTTGCCTAGGCAAAATTAAAATATAGCTAGGAATAAATTCATACAATGAAAAAATTAAAATCTGAATAGAAAAACTTTATTATTGAAAAATATTTCTTCATTTAATTAAACAATTCCAAGAGAATACAGTTCAACAAAATCTTTTAGTCTGTTCATCCATATTAGTCTCTTTTATTTTTGATAAAGAACGTGATTGTATGAATTTATTCCTAGCTGTATGTTAATTTTGACTGGGCAAAATTAAAATTTCAATTTTGCCTAGGCAAATTTAAAATTTGCCTGAATTTCAATTTTGCCTACAACATATATATATATTTACTTAATGTTCTTAGGTATGCTCGTGGTCATGCTGATAAAATAGCAACACGTTATCGTCCAGGTGCTTGTGAAAATTGTGGTGCCATGACACATAAACGTAAAGATTGTGTTGAACGTCCACGTCGTCTTGGTGCACGTTTTACAGGTACAGATTTTGCACCTGATGAATATATACAACCAGATATAAATTTATCATGGGATGGAAAACGTGACCGTTGGAATGGTGTTGATATTAATTGGCATCAACAAAAAATTCATGATGAACATCAACGTTTAGCTGAAGCAAAAAAAATTTTAAAAGCTAAAAAATTAGATGAAGAAGCTATGGCTGAAGAACAAGCTATGAATGAAACAACACCTAATGAAAGTACAGATCCTCTTGTTACTGTAGCAGCTAAACCAATTGAACATGATGATAAAAATAAATCAACAAAAAAAACTAAAATTGACTCTGATGATGATGAAGAAGATGAAGAATATAAATATACAGATTCAATGGATATGCCTGGTCAACATGTTGATTCAAAACAACGCATTAGTGTACGTAATTTACGTATACGTGAAGATACAGCTAAATATTTACTTAATTTGGATGCTGAATCAGCTTATTATGATCCAAAATCACGTTCAATGCGTGATAATCCATTTACTGGAACAAATAAAGATCCATCACAAGTACCATATTTAGGTGATAATTTTGTACGTTATTCAGGTGAAGCAAAAGATTTTGCTAAAAGTCAAATATTTGCATGGGAAGCATCAGACAAAGGTGTTAATATACATACACAAGCTGATCCAACTAAACTTGAATTATTAAATAAAGAATTTCATGAGAAAAAAAATCAATTTATTAAAACAGTTGAAAAACAATTAATTGAACGTTATGGTGGTGAAGAATATTTAAATAGTATACCACGTGAACTTGTTGTTGAAGCACAAACTGAACAATATGTTGAATATAATCGTTTTGGAAAAGTTATTAAAGGTGATCAACGTGCAACAATTAAATCAAAATATGTTGAAGATGTTTATGAAAATGAACATACATCTGTATGGGGTTCTTATTGGAAAAATCATCGATGGGGTTATGCATGTTGTCATTCATTATTACGACAATCTTATTGTACAGGTACAATTATTGAAGATAAAGAAATTGAATTTCAAATAGATGAAAAATCTGATGATATTAATGAAGATAAACCAAAATCATTAGTTGAATTACATCGTGAAAAATTAAATAAAAAAAAACTTCAACCAAAATCTTCATCAACAGATGATGATCAAAATTCTATAACAAAAAAATTAGATAAAAAAAAAGTACAAGAAGCAGCAAGAAAAATTGAAGAACGTGATCGACAAGCTGAAGACATAGTCAATGTTGATGAACGAAAACGTAAATATAATTCATTAAAATCAGATATTAATGAACATAAAGAACCAACTGAAGAAGAATTAGAAGCATATCGATTGAAAAAACATCGTCATGATGATCCAATGGCACAATTTATGTTAAACTCTTAATTTGATTTGTCGTATATTAAAAAAAAAATTGTATAACATTATTTACTATTATATTGTATTCTCGTATTTGTTTAAATAAAATATAGAAATGAACATATCTCAAGTAATCAACTCAAAAAAAAAAAATATTTATTCATAGAGTTCAATCTCAAAAATGTTCACCTATTCGAAAGAAGAAAAGTATTCGAATGATGAAAATAAAACAAAAGTTTCTGTAACAATAAATTGCAAATGAACGTAAGAATTGAGATACTTGTAAAAACTGTGGATAACCATTCTGAGCTTGCTATTTCTGTTTTCAACTGGAATAAAATTTCTTTTGGTGGACATAGCCCCTGATAGAGATCAAGGAACACTTTGACGACACCTATAGACACTTTCCAAATACTCCACAGACTAGTATGGTTCAAATTTCCAATATTTCTAAAATTTTTTGATATGTATACATATCAAAAAAGCACTATCGTAAACGGTCGTATACGACGAAATACGTCTAGAAACGGGCATCGTACACGACGATCGTATACGATGAACGTATACGGTGCCATACGTTCAAATACAATCAACGTATACGTTGAAATAAACGACTGCCGTGCACGAGTGTAGTATACGACTGTATATGGTCGTAAGTTAGTCGTAAGTTGAGTTACATGTGTCGACCATACCCAGGTCGAAAAATCACATAGTAAGATCAGTTATGAATTCTTGTATGATCCTATTCGATGTTACTCAAAAGTCGTATATGTTCATACAAAGATGATACAAAAAATCATATGAAAAATTGTCGTCTCAGAAATCTGATGTCAATTCTTCTAGCAAGTTTCTTAGATGCTCCAACACTAAAATATTGTATGATTATAAAAAAATCGTACAGTAAGGTTTTAACTGATTTCTTTAAAAACATACATTCTCGTCATGTTTCACCTTCCCTGGCAGCTATAGTTCAACTTAACTTCACATAGCCCAGATCTTTTTACTTACTGAACCCGATGCATAGGTGCCTACATCGGCAGTTATCATTACATAATAAAATTCATAGCATAATAGTCACAAAAACTCACGCATAAAAAATTTTACTCTCTATACCGTTAACAAAGAGAAATAAAAAATAAAAGTTAAGATTTTCTACATTACCAATATAGAAAAAACAAAAAAACTAAAGAATATGATCTTCCGTATTATTAATATGGAAAAGTAAGAAAAAAAATGCGACTTTTTGTACTACTAATATAGAAAAATAAGAAAGAAAAATTAGCATTTTTTATATTATTATTATTATAGACGAATAAGACACAAAACTAACTGTTTCTATATCATCAATATAGAAAAATAAGAAATAGAAATTAAGATTTTCTATACTATTAATATAGAAAAATTGAAAAATAAAAAATATTTTCTATATCAGCAATATGCAAAAATGAGAAATAAAACAAATAGTTATCTTTGTTACCAATGTAGAAAAATAAAAAAAAATAAGATTCTCATATCACCAATGTAGAATAATAAGATGTAAAAATCAGCATTTTTATACTATTACTAAAGACAAATAAGACACAAAACTAACTGTTTCTATGTCATCAATATAGAAGAATAAGAAATAAAAATTAAGATTTTCTATATAACCAATACAGAAAAATAAAAAATAGGATTTTCTATATATCCAATATAGAAATATAAGAAATAAAACTTAAGATTTGTCATATCAGTAATATAGAAAAATAAGAGGTAAAAAGTTAGCATTTTCTATATTATTGTTATCGACAAATAAGACAAACAATATCTGTTTCTATATCTGTTCATACCAAGAGAAAACAGATGTCGCCTGTTTAAAAAAATGTAATTTTTATCAGTATCAGACACATTTATTCCTTTACAAATTTTTTTTTCTGACACTCAATTGAAAGGAATAAAACAAATATACCTCTTATTTAAAACTATGTTCGACGTTTTTTCTTCGATCAAGTATGTATTTGAACACAGAGATATTACTCTTCAGTAATAATATCTGTAACGGCAGCAGACATAGCCTGTCTATTTTGTATGCATGTATGTATATCTGCATTCTTTTTCCATTAAGTACTCAATTCTTAACATAAGATAGGTATCTCGTATTTGATATATATATGAGCTTTGTCTTACATAAAGTAATCAGTTTATAGCAGTAAAAGGATGAATACTTCTTACTTTATACAGTCTGTTTTCATTTCATCTAATATTTAGCTATATAGATAGAGAGACATTCAGATAGTACTACACTGTATAGTCGTTATTGTCAATGAGTAATTCGTTCATGAAGTAGAGAGAGATATTCCTTATCCAATAGAAATTAGTTAGATGATATTAAATCTTCAGTTTTGAATGAGTCTGAAATCATTATTTTTATCAATTTATTTATTTTTTAATGTTGACTCCAGCATTAGTATAGTAAATTATACATTAGATTATATCTAATACTAATATTTCGATCGTATAAATAATTTACTATTTGATGAATTTTCTTTTTTTTCTGGATTAGATGAATATTATTTTTTATTTTTAGACTAGATAAATTTTATTTTGTTATCTTTAGATTAAATAAATTTTATTTTTTAGTTTTTAGATTAAATAAATTTATTTTTTATTTTTAGATTAGATAAAGTTTCAATTTTATTTTTTAGATTGAATAAATTTTATTTTTTAGATTAAATGAATTTTATTCTTTTGTTTTTAGATAGATCAACTTTAACTTTTATTTTTTAGATTAAATAAATTTATTTTTTATTTTTTAGATTATCAAAAGGACAAATAAAACCATAAAGTATCAATGTAATGGAATGGGGATGTCCAATTTGGCTGGAGGTTCAAGTTCTTGTTTTTCGTGCAGCTTTGATGATATATCATCAAAGCTGCATGAGAAATAAGAATTGGGAGCTCCAGTCAGACTGGACACACCAAAGATTAATTTGTCCATCTTTGCAGAATTGGGAGGGGGGAGGGTAGGTAGCAAAATTTTGAATGAAATACGGTGACAATCCACATAGTATACGACTGTGTACGATCGTTTACGGTGGTCGTATTTCGTCGTATACGACACGACGATATACGGTCGTAAATCTGGCGTCAAGTAATACGGCGAAATACGGTCGTATACGATCGTAATTTACACCGTATACGACCGTACACGATCGAATACGACATCGTATACGATCGTTTACGGCAATCGTAATGCTCGTCCTCTGAAATAAGATGAATATTATAATAAAAGTTACATCATTTTAATCATTTCTAATAGAATTTCAAAATTTTTTCGATTCAATTTAAATTTTGCAAAAATTTGAAGCGAGCTTATCACTGCTGTATACTTCAATATTCAATTTAAATTGTATTCTATACAGCATAAACTTTTTTATATAGATTTATTGTTTTCTTAGGTTTTGATTTGTATACAATAAGTAAATGTTCAAGACAAAGTCATTGTTATTATTATTCAGGAATTAAATCTTCTTCACATACCCATGCAGTATAATCTGATGGATGACCAGTAAAATTAACTTTATAATAAACTTTTCCATTACGTTCTTCCATTCCAAGAACTTCATTAACAGTTTCAACATCGTCATCATTAACTGATGATATATTAGTTGTATGTGATGATGTTATACCTTTTTCTTGACATGTTCGTTTAAGTTCATTTTCAAAATTATCAAATGATTGTGTTTTATTACTTTCATGCGCTGATATAGGTATAATTGTTGTTGTTGTTGTTGCTGTTGTTGGTAATGATTCTTGAATTTTAAGATCTTTATTTGTTGATAGAATTGTTCCTAATGATGCTATTTGATTTGATGTTAAACCTGTTTGATTTGGAGATGACAGAAAATTTATATGATGATCTAATTTTTGATAATTATTAGGTAAATTATTTGTTATTGGTTTTGTTTGATTTTTATATAGACGTTTCTTTTTTAATAATTGAATTATAATAAATATAAGACATAATGTAACAAAGAAAAACATTAAACAAATAATAGCTAATATAATCATGGAATTTTGTGGATTAAAAAATGACTAAAATATTTATTTATAAACATATTTGTTTTTTTTATGAGATTTTTTTTTTGTTTTACTTTAATATTATTCCACATATTTTCATTGTTATTTATTGTTGTTGGCGTAGTATATTTGATAATATTAATGTCTGTTCGATTCATATTATTGTTGGCATCAAAAGACTACAATGAAATGATGGTTTGTATTTTGATTTAGATCGATATAATATGTAACGATCATGATGCAAGCATAATTAATTATCAATATACTCTTGTAATTGATAGTTCACTATTGGATTATGACAAGTTTTGCGCCAATTACATGACACGGAATTCTTTAAGTAAATTTGAAATCTACTTATTCAAAATGAAATACTTCAATCTAGTAGATTATTGAATTTACAATAAAAGTTTAATTGATATGTTTCGATTTAATAATTAATATTTCTCTGTCTGTCTTTAAAATGTATCGGTACATAATGAAGTTGCCCATCTCTAGTTTTCATGGTTACTTTAACTTCTTTTACATGAACATATATGCAGTTTCTTTTTTTTAAACTTGCATTCTCTTTTTCATCATTTGTGACTAATGTAGTAAAACTGCTGATCATTATTTTGTTATAACTGTACATATGAGGCAAAGTAATGACATCACAGCATCACCTTACACTGAATGAAAAAATTCGATTAATTAATAATAGCAACAGTGATAGTGGTTCATCATCAAGTGAATTACAGAGCTCGACAAATCAAGTCATATTTCTCCGTTTATTTTTATAAGAAATGTTCACAATAAGTTTTTCAAGATACAAAAAAAAACGAATAAAGAAGGTTATGTTACGAAACCTTTTGTAATAAAATATGTAATATCTTCCATCAGTGAACACTTTCTAAAAATCCGGACCGTGTACATTTAACAGAAGTTTTACTGTATAATCCAAAATAATCGAGCAGCAGAATTATACAAGACTTTGATAAAATTCGCACAAAATATAATACGAGTTGATTGGAAAATCTAAAGTATTTTTCCATAGAATCTCAACTCTGTCTACATAGTATTAATCATAGATTTTAATGAAATGTTCAGTCTTCGGAAAGCTTTTGTTTTGATGAAAATCAAACGCAGAATACCGTAAGCCGTAATGGAGACAAACAAACTGTTTTTTGCAGATTTTTAACAAAATATTTTTAATAGTTTACGTTAATAAAACAGGATTAAAAAAAATAAAATGCAAAATTATTTTTAGATGTCTCATGAAAAGATGCATTGAATCATATTAAATTTGGCTTCGATTTAATAAAAACAAATTTAATCTTATATATGCTCTAACTATGTACTTATCAACAATACAATCAAACAGAGCTGTTTTAAATTCTTAATTATTCCGAACAGTCAACTTGTTCTATATATCATCAATTTTATAGATCTTAATAACATACATCAATAGAAAAAATTATCTTTTGGTAATTTATTCTAAACAACAAGTTATCATATCGAAGAACTGATAAATAAAATAACAATGACAAAGTTATTAGTATTCGAGTCTGCCATGAAAAAAAAATAGGTTTCTATGCAAAAAAAAAAGCAAGCAAACTGCATTTTTTGTTTTTATTTTCCACAGTACTATCATGTTATTTGGTTTCTTTTTGGTAAAATAATAAACTTAATATTTGTTCAAAGCCGTAGAAAGTACATGAAGTGCTTTTTTGTTTTGTCTAAGATTCTCGCTTCTTTCAATTCATATATTTATAGTGACATCTATTATAAATATTTCTTAATGATATCGAATAAACAACTATTTAAATGAATGATAATAAACATATGAAATAATTTTATTGAATAAATTATTTATTTTTGTCAATAATAGAGTTTAATTAATGCTAATCATGGCTACTGTTTATTGATTGGTTATTACTCACATTCCCTTTACTTTAAGAAATTCTCTTCGTTTCTTCACTTCTCCTATTAATCGATTAAACTTATTGTGTATGTTGTATTTCCATTGACTGATTATATTATTAATAAAGTGTCAAATCAATGAATATAAGGATATGATATACACAATTGATTAGTTATCAAATTTCAATGAACTAATGGCTGATATAAATAAAATTATTTCATCATCAACTATCAACGATGAAATAAAAGTATGAAGAAAAAAAAAGAGATTTTTCGTTTTATTCCTATTATATCTCTTTTATTTTTACCAAAAATAAAACTAAAGAATTCTTGTTTTAGAATAATACTACAAATTATATTAATACTGATGATAATGATGAACAACATATACAATCAAAAATAATTAAATGTAAAACAAATAATCAACAAAATCAAATATCATCATATAATATATTAACATCAAATAGTACATCATCAACAACAATACGTTCAATTGATGTACCAAATGAACATACATCAATTAAATTACATATACGACGTGTTTGTTCACCATCATCATCATCATCAGCAACAGCAGCAACAGAAACTTTATCAATAAATCCAACAACAAATCTTTTATATCAAACAAATGAACAATCAACAACAAAAATAATATCAAGAAAATTTTTTCATACAAATACAGAACTATCAAATAATAATTTATCACGTCGATTACTAACAACTCGACGTCGTTCATTAATTGAAAGTGATTTAACAAATTATGATCATTCAAAAATAATTATGAATATATATGATGAAAATACATTAAAAAAACAAACAACAAAAACAAATGGATATAAACGTAAATTACAAAATGATCAACAAGAAAAAAAACAACAAAAATTAATAACTAAAACAACTAAACAACAAACAAATAATATAAGTATGTTTAATATTCTATTTATGATAATATTAAATCATAGAATTACAAAAAAACTTTTTTAAATATTCATTATATTAATTAAGCAAAAAAACAATGACATATAGTTACATTCTTATATTAAGATTCAACAAACATAGAAATCTTGTTATAGATGAGTGTTTCTTTTTTTTTGTTGAAAGTTTTACTTGTTCTTCACTTGGCAGATACATTCTTAACATTTAAACGGACAACAAAAGCATCATGACAAACTTTAATATTTTCGATAGATCTCTGAAATACGTATTTGAGTAAAGAAACAATTCATAATGATTTTGATCAGCATCTTGTCAAAATTATTTGACGTATACTATACCATGAAAAGTACAATGGAACTTCAGCCATTTATTATCATAGTGATTATGAATTGAATAAGGATCGGACTACTTGTTAAACCGAAAAAGCAAGATGTGTTTGTAGATACTTCAACTTCTTGACGGTTATCATTTATTCACACAAGTGTTTATGCTCGTTAATCGATTTCAAAAGATCAGATTGCTTACTATTTTAGTAACACTCATGTTATTTAATTTAGTTTATAGTGCACTTTTGAAAACACTCGTATAATCTTGTTTATTAGTAGTTTCGAGGTGCAAAATTCATGTAAGAAATTTTGATGACAAAATCAAATGAAATCTTTTTTTTTTGATATTCTATTAAATCTTCGATTTTTTGAATTATTTATTTCACTATGTGTAGATGAAGCACTATACTGTTTTATCATCAATAATTGATGATTGTGCTTATTGAAATACAGTGTGTGTAAAAAAAAAACTCTAAATTGTATAGTCAGATCATGTCAAATGCAATCAGATGATTGATTTTGGAAAATCAATGTTTGAAAGGGAGGGATTCAAAAAATGCGTTTCATTTATGTGACATCTCTTGTGTATGATTCCGACATGAGCACATCTTTCTTACGATTACTTTTCTTCTTTGACTCTGGAAGAGATCGATCAACAACTTCCGGAAATTATTATTGTTTTCAGATTTTTTCTACACATCTCGTTATCTATCTTATCATCAAACGGAAGGAGTTAGACCGCAGGCAATTACCTAATTGAGAGTAAGAACTGAATAATGATCCTCATTTTGTACAGTTAAAATATATTATATCTTATTAATAGATAAATCCAATGGATTAAAGCAATCCCCTCCCAAAAAAGCAGAAAAAGAAACAAAATCTGCTAGTCTCTCGTATCGATTAAGAAAGTTGAAATTTTACTAAAAATCATCTATTGTCGTGAATCATTTACAAACGATTAGTTATAATAAATATATTTTTGATTGATTAAAAATTTCAATCTATTGAAATTTACTTAGGATATAACAAATGTAATAGTAAAGATATTTTAATTCTTTATAAAAAGCTTAAAGAAAATTTTGATAAGAGCTGATGTAGATCGTATTGTATCATCAATGTATATTCTTCTTGATGATATTCTCGTCGTTCTTCTTTTTTTCTCATTTCCTCTAATGTCTAGCCGTCTATACATATAAGAGTATAGAACAAAAAAACAGAAATATAGCAACAACTTCATCAAGTTTTTACTTGAGTAATTTTCCAGATTTGGCATCATGTGATTTTTTAGTTCTTCGACTCTATCAATGTGATTTTCAAATTGTTACATTATCTTGTCAACAAGTTCATAAATTTTTTCAATGAAGAAGGGTATTTAAAAAGAAAAACGTTTTTTATAAATGAATTCAATGAATACAATTGGGTATAAATAATTGGTACCAATTTTTCTATACTCTGTTCGGTATGGACAACTAGACATTAGAGGAGATGACAGAAAAGAAGACAAAAAGATGTTAGCACAATTCCTGAAAGATTGAAAAGTGAAACATGATGTAACTTCTGTTACTAATTACAGAAAGATTATTTTATTCTATCTGTTTAAGGACATATGTCTTCGTCATAGTGTTACTTAATCCTTTAGAAATGCAATAGGAAAGTAGTTCTTATATTATAATGAGATGTTATTGATATAAGGTCTTTGATCGTATATCAATAACGTCTATAGGAGACGACCGATATTCATTTGATGATTCATAGAAAAGTCGACAATAATTTAGTTTTTTGGTTCTTTGTTTTTGAATTATGTAAAGAGAACAAAGATCTGGAAAAGCAAACAATTATAGACTTTTCTATTATTCATCAAATAAATATTGTCTCGATCGAACAGCGATTTAACACCTGGATAAATTCTCTTATATGATATCTGTAATGAGCCGTTTCTAATGTGTCTACCACGATCTATTGACACTAAATGCTTAGTAATATTAGTGAAAGAATGATCGAATATCCGAGAAATATAAATGGAGAGCAAATATTTCTTGAAAGCGTTCCCAAATTTTCTTGTAATCATTGTATAGTCTGAAATAATATTTATCTACGGAGTAGATTTTTCGTACACAACAATATTTTTTCGCATAGATTATATACTGTTTCGGATGGGTAGTTTATTTGTTGTTTTGTTGTAGACAAAAAATAAAAAATACTCATGCCAAGCAATGTTTGATGCTTGTAACAAGAAAGTGGCGTGATGACATTTTTTTTGTCATTATGATCTTAGCATTTCATAGAAGATAAAGTTCCGGAGAAGTTATTAAAACATATCAACTATGTTCTATTCTCAACGATAGAAATTTCTATTGAAATGATTTGTTTTTTCTAAAGAATCTTCTAATACACTTGTTCAAACTCGTTCATCATCACGTTTAAAACAAAAACATCAACCAATTAATGAACATCGTTCATCAACAATAAAACGACGTTTAAGTTCAGAACTTCAAACAGTATCAATATCAACTGATAATCTATTACATAATGAATATAAACATTCAAATGTATCATCATCAAAACAATTAACAACAAATGAATGTCAAACAACAGATGATATTATTGAAATATTTCATAAACCTATTCAAACAAATTATTTAATTAAATCAGATAAATCAACATATACAGATTTTATTGATCAACCTTATTGTGAAAATAGTACACAAACAATACAAAAAGATGAACAAGAAACTCAAACAATTGATCTTAATTGTCCAAATGATTCTCAAGTTTATTTATGTCAAACAACAACAAGTCAAATACAATGTGATGGTATACCAACATCATCATCATCATCAATAACATCACCTATTATTATAAATCAATCAAATGATAATCAACAACAACAACAACAACAATTATCATCACCTTTTATAGATTTATCATTAACAAATAGTAATCATGATCGTTCACAATTATTTCAAAGTCTTATACATACAGAAGAACATCCAAATGGTGGTGCAAGTCTTATACGTACATATTATAATGAATTTATACGTTTATCAAATGAAAATGCTCATTTATTTGTTAATTATTTTTTTAATCTTGTTTATGGTGAAGTTAATCAACGTGCTAAATATGCTATTGGTGTTGTACATGATGGTGCAAGATATTTACCTGATTTAGTTGATTATTTTAGTTTAACATATCCAAAAATGATTGTTAAAACAACAAATATATTTAATTCAAAAGAAATTTTAACAACAACTATGGGAGAATATAGAAATCGTATTGTACAAACATATTCAAATGGTACATTTCGATGTGGACCATTAATGAGTATATCATTAGTTGGTACTGTTACGGGAAAAGAAGAATGTGGTAAGAAAGAATTTTTATGTTAGGATAGAGATCTACGATTTTTTCTTATTCAAGGGAGAAGACTCGAAAATATCAAAGTATATCGTGGTTTGATCAGATAAATTCTTAATGGAAACTTTCAGAAGTTATTTTCTTTCAATCAATGCAAAACTGAGGTTTCTAGCTTATTCCTTTAGAGTTTTTTTTGAGAATCTTGATCTCAGCCAATTCATCTGTGATTGTCCGAAGAAGCAGCTATTAATATTTATCTTTGAATAGTTTCTATCATGTTCTTATAAGAAGTTATTTAAACAACAGTAGAAAATATTCTATTTTGAAATGAATAGTAGATATTGTGAAGATCTACTGAGATTTTCTTAGAGTTTTTCACATTGTTAATCCTGTTGTGTGATAACCAATCGGAAAGATTTATTCTTCACTTTTATTTACCAATAAAATAACCACTAGGGGCATTTATCTCAAACTTAATCTTGTTTCATAAAAATTCTACACAATGCTTTAGTTTCTTCATAATAAAAATGTATTGATAAGCTTACGGCTCGAATTCTTCTTAAAAGATATTCATAGGTTATTAGGGTCTATATGATGTAATTATTTCGAAACAAAAAAAAAACAGTTAATCAGTTGAAAGACTTCTCTCGTAAGTCTACCATAATTCTTTCTATTTTTACTTATTATAAGTATAAAAATTTCCTAGAATTCTAATTTGAGTTCTACCTGAACAAAAATTTCATTTGTTTCTTCTTTACAAACAATTGTTTTTGTTATATTAAATGATCGTATTCTATACAAATCATGTTTCGATCAATCATATTTGTTCAACTAGTTCATGTTTTATACTAATGATTATTTCTTTATATATATATATACATACAGTCAAGGTCACGATCATATATATAACAAAAAGGAAAAGTAAAACAAATGAACCATAACGGTCATTCATCATTGTACTTAAATTCCAACTATCATTGATAAAATACTAGGTCATAGTATAAGTAATAGATTCATAATTAAAACATCGTTTTTATATATCTATATATTCTATTAGGTGATTATTTTCCAACATTTATTGATAAACTTGAAGAAAATCCATTTCTTCAATGTGTTATGCCATGGGGACCATTATCATCTCAAAAACTAAAATCACGAACAGATTCAAATGATGGACCTATTTTATGGGTACGACCAGGTGAACAATATGTACCAACAGCTGAACATAAAATATGTCATCCAAAAAAACGTATGACTAATGAATTACGTAATTTAACATTTATTGGTCGTGGAACAGATCCACGTGAAGTACTTGTTGAAGATCGTACAAAACCACATAGTGATCATTGTGATAGTGATGGACTTGAAACAACAGCTGCTGTTGGAATATTAAAAGCTGTACATGTTGGAACACCGTATGTTATAGAAATTGATAATGGATTTATTTTCTTCTTTCGTTTTTTTGTTTTTTTTAAAGATCAACAGTTAATCGAATGGTTAAAGATGTTGTTTGTTTTCATGCTGAAGATTTTGAAAAAATTGTTGAACGATTAAAAATTGATATTTATGAACCACCTATATCTCAAGTAAGTTTAATAAATCAAAAACAAATAAGAGTCATGGGAATATAGTTCGAATAGATTTTGCTAGAAATGAGATAGGCAACTGAGGTTATTAACAATAGAAAGAAAAGAATCAGGTGCATATTTGTATACTGAAATTTGATTGGTCAACATTGGACTAATCACATTCATTTGTGGTAGAGGTTTGAAAAATGAATATTCAAGACCCAGTTTTCATTTAACCTTGATTATTATGATGATTGTAAGGTAGAAAAATTTGTATGCTTTCGGTGTGCACAACACCAAGATGGCTAACTTATTCTGTTTAAAAGCGAAATTTTGAAATACCGTTAGTCTATTTTTAAAAGTAAGTGACAAAGGGACGGCCTTGTAGTGGGTTGTCTGTCTCGGCAGAGGACAGGTCACAATGGGATACGTTCTTTTCCATTTCCTCGGGTTACCACTTCTAGTACTCTGAGAATAAAAGCATCTTCTGCTGAATTTTAGACTCTACCTACTCCTAAAAAATATCACGAATTCTACATCTAACACCTTTATCTCAATGTTTTTGACATGTAGATTTCGATAGAAACTATCGATTTTGTGTAGATTGAAAGAGAACATTTTTTTTTCGTATTATCAAGTTTAATTGAAAAGTGATATTAGAATATCGTTTGATGTTTTTGATAAAACTTTATACAAAATTTACTTAGCACTTTTCTATTATGTTATGATTAATACCTGTATTTTCATCTAGTGTTTACAATGGTGTGATGATGGTAAACTTAATCAATTACGACGTGAAGGTATTCGTTATGTTCGTTTACCACTTTATGATAATGTAAATAAAAAATATTTTGTTTTATTCTTATAATTCATATATAATGTGTTTTTTTTGTTTTTGTTAAGGATATTTATTTTATTCCCAGAAATGTTATTCATCAATTTCGTTCTCTATCAGCTGTAACATCTATTGCATGGCATGTAAGACTTAAACATTATTATCCAAATGATGTACATGAAGAAGAATATACTCCTCTATATAGTCCAATATCTGATACATAGGAAATAAAAAAGAAAAAAATCTCGTTGTATATATAGAAAAATTTCTTTCTTTTTTATGTAACTGTTTTTTTTTGTTCAATAACCTATGGTTATTATTGTTTTTATTTCTTTTTGCATGCATTTGTGTATAATGATTTTTTTTTTTTATTTCAAGTCTATTTAATGTTGATGTTGTTGTGTTTTTTGTTTTTGATAAATGAGATTAAGATGTATAAAAAAAAAACAAATCAAGAGAAGAAATTCTGTTTTCTTTTTTTTTTTTATCTCGTCATGACAAACAATTTTTAGATATAATGCCAAATGAACGACGTCAAACTAATTTATTACGGTAAGTTGAAATAAATGAATATGTATGTAAATATCTCTGATATTAAGACTACAAACTTATAAAAGATTTATATATGAGGATTGTTTGTATTCAGAGAAAAATTAATTGAAGATGAAAATAGAAAAGTTTTTGTTTTTTTTTTTTTGTCTTCATACATTATTTGTTTTATTTTAGAATGGATATTGACAGTGTGTTAAAACCATTTGATGATGAACGAAAGTATTTAGGTAAGTGGGTCTGATTTTCTTAAATTGAAATATTACTAAAAGATATTTACATTGCTTTTGTTGAAATTAAATAGAAAAATTTTACTATTTGTTTTTTTGATACCCAGAAGTCGAAACACTTTGAATATTTTTTTTTTTAAATAATTCATGCAAAATGCAAGATAATAGCATGCTGTTTTCTGCAATCCATAGCACAAATTCTAAGGTATTTATTCATTTGCGAAATATTCTTACCGGACAAATTCTGACAAAAGTTGTTGCTTGTAAATAGATGCCTTACAGTTTTGACTATTGTCTACTAAAAATCGCATATCATTGTTATGGAATATACATGAATTATTCAAAAAAAGATTCGCATATCTTAACTTTTAATCCCAATAGTATTACTAAGTATCCGATAGCTTCATTTTAGTACACGTGTGCAATTCGACTACATGACTCAGTAGTTAATATGAAATTTTGATAAGTCTAATATATATCTACGGAGGAATAACTGATTGTTAATCATCGATATTTACTAAAAGCAAGAATCAGTATTGATTTAAATGATAATTTGTATTGAGTATGAATAAAAGTTGATCGTTTGTGTCTCTGTTCGATAGCAAAATATTGATCATAGTAGAACAAGAATCATGCAGGAAAAATTCTAAAACTTACTTAGAAAAAATTCATTCGAAAAATAATACTATTATAAAAGAATCGTATACGTTTTAGAAACACTTTGATTTCTCACAATGCACAAATCTATATTATAAACAGAATTCGATATCAATGAGACAAAGACAATGATGAGAGCATACCTGTATATAGCCTTTCTTTCCACTTAATTTCAATCTACAATTTTACTTGATTATGACAGGAGTTAGAATAATCTGATCACCGGAATCATTTATCTGGATAATTAAAAAGGTCAAATCAGCCGAAATCCTTTTACAAAGACAAGTGTTCAAATATGAATCGTCAATCAATCAATATGAAATTTTGTCTATAGATAAGTCTTGTCGACATTAGAGTGACCGGCAAATTTCAGTTCAAAAGGATATGTTCTTCTTAAGCTATGAACATTCAAGAATAGTTACATGCAACAAGAAAAAGTAAGAAAACTCAGCGTTTTCAATATCCGATATCTCAAGAAGAATACATCACTTTGAAAAGGATAATGCATGAGAACGAATCTCTACAAGTTTCTATTAGACAAAATATCAACTTGATTAGTAAGTCATCACATTCATGGACTTTACCTTGTTAATAAAATTAAAACTTTTTTCAATAATCCAACTTCAATAAATACTAGAGTAATACGCCGTTTCGATGGTTTGATTCATATACGACAATTTATGTTTTTCATCTATTTACTATTTAATTGAAGCTCTTCTTTTTTTTTTGTGTGTGTGTTTAGAAAAGCTCCGTCAATCAACAACAGTCGAATCAATTCTTCTTCATTTATTTGATTTATTACAAATTGAAGATTATCATTTATTATTTTCAACAATAAATTTTCAAACAATCGATATAAAATGGTTAGAAACTTTTAGTCGTATATGTATGCAACGTTATTTAGAATTTGATGATATATGTTTTTCTTCTAAAACATTACAAATAAATCTTGAAAATAAAAATGATACAAAATCTATCATAGAAAATTATACAAATTTTTTAATTGAAAATTTAAAAAGACGTTTTACATTAAAATATTTTTGTGCGATTATAATTGAATTAGAACAATTAAGTTATTTTAAATTTGAACAAATATCAAAACAATTAAATGAAAATAATCATATTATACATGATATTTTCTTATTATTTAATACAGATAATGATGATAAAGATGATAGTATTATACATATAAGTTCAACACCAGCACAAACAATAAATCGTCCAAAATATATTAATTATAAACCTTTACATATGGTTTATTTACATGAAAATCTTCTTATTAAAAATGATCTTGATTTACGTTTACCATTAAAAGGTATAACAAATACATTTATAGCTGATTTAATACATACAAAAACAATAAATATACTTGATGAAATAACGGGTAAAACATATGATATACCAACAAAATGGCTTTATTTTGCTAAACCATGTGAATCAAATGTTATATTACCATTAAAATTACGTGTACTTATATTTGATTCACAAACAGGTTGCCGTCGTTATGGTTTAATTGGTGAAGAACCAGGAAAAAATAATGATTATCGTTGTTTAATTTTTTTTACTGATGATAAAACAAATATGTCAGCTAATTATCATCCATCATCACATATACATATATGTCTTGATCAAACATTTTTAACACATACACATGAATGTCAAAATGATTTTCTTGAAAGATATTTTGCATCATATCCTGAACGTATGATGTTAAGAGCTAAAGAAGGTTCACTTGTTAAAGTACGAAATATATTTACAAATTTTAATCATAATTTATTTATACATGCACTTGTTATACAAATTGATGGTTCAATGATGCAAATTGAATTAAGTCATAGTAAACAACGTATATGGCTTTATCGTGGTTCACCATTACTTGATCAAATGCATAATTATTATTCAACACAAAATAAAGCAACTAGTAATGGTTTTGCTCGTCGTACAGCTAGACAACATTTATCAGCTAGACGAACAAATGCACCGGAAATTATTTGTCTTAATGATCAAACAACAATGCAATCAGCACCAACAACAATATCGACAACAACAACAGCAATAAATAAAGGAAAATTTATTCGAACAGCTGAACAAGCTATTGATGATATAGATGAAACGAGTTAGTAGTGTATAATGTTAAAATATAGAGTTCTACGATGAACATGTCGAACTTTAGTTAACGAATTTTTTAGATTGTCAGAATCATACTTAGAATCGATGGAAGAACCTTGGATCATTTTGAGTGAATTTAAAATACCAATTTTTATAAAATCTCATCCTTTCATTATTGAAAGAAATCAAGTAAAGCAATAACAAACTAAAATAGGAGTTGTTACAATTAGAAATTTTCAGGTTTATATGAATCTTACATTCTAGTATATCTTCGTAGGATTGATTGCTTAATTGATATATTATAAACATATTGATTTTTCGTTAGTTAAGTCAAGAATTTCAATCGGTCTGTTTCAAGTATATTCAGAATCAATTTTATATGAAATACAATCGATAGGCCATAATGAATTGAACTAATTGTAAAATGCAATTTTTCGCCTATATTTTAAAATTTTGAATGACAGGTTCATATCAAAATTTAGGACGTAATAAATAACTCTCTAGTAAAACTTGAATATCTGAAAATAGATCACGCACATCGAAGACGAAATTCAATATCTTTTGTCATAGATTCTTTTGCTTTCGAGATCTACTAATACTGTTGCATTATACGAGAAATGATACATTGTGATGTATTTATCATATTTGAAATTTTTTTTTTCTTTAAGGATCTATAAAACGACCGCGAATATCTAGTGAACAAGATCTTCGAAAACCTTCCTCATTTCAATCAACCGCATCGATTCCAACTGGTTTACGAACACTACGACCACGTCAATCAAATAATTCAACATCTAATACATTACTATCATCATCGTCATCATCATCTTTACCTAATGATCATTCCTCTTCCATAAATCTTCATCGTCAATCATCTTCATCATCAATTTCATCAAATCATGGTACTACAACAACAATGCAATTACGTTCAAGTCACGTATGTATTGTTTTCGTTTTTACAAACAAAAATTTTATAAAAAAAACGCTTTTTTTTTTATATAGACAAATATAAATGCAAAAGTAGTAATTAATCCATTATTTCTTGAATTAGCTGAAAAATTTCTTCTTCATTATTCATATGAATTTCATCCACATAATTGTTCACATAAATGTGTTGTTTATGCTGAAAAACATTTTCATCAATTACCACGAACAATGAATCCATTTTTAAAACCATTTGCATGTCATTGGACAATGCTTGATAATTTACGAGTTCGAAAAGTTGGTGATGTTCGTCTTAAAGTAACACGTTCAGCATTTATCTATTGTGCACCATGTATGTTCAATATTAAAATAACTTCTTTGTTTTTTTTTTGTATGAATTATTTTAAGGTGGTAGAAAACTTTCAAGTCAAACTCAAGTTGATAATTATCTTCATGAAACAAAATCAAAATTAACAATTGAATTATTTGTATATGATAGTAAAGTTAATGTTAAACAACATTATTGTCCAGATGGTAAAATAATTAATTCAGATATATCAAGTGGACAAGAAAATGTTCCAATATCAGTTGTAAATGAAGTTGATAAAGAACCAGGAAAAATTGAAGAACCAAGTGCATTTACATATCGTGTTGAACGAACACCTGTTGCAGGTGTTAATATGGTGACAAATGAACCAACAATGACATGTTGTACTTGTACAGATGGATGTAGAAATAGAGTGCAATGTGCTTGTAAGTTATTCAAAAGTGAATGAAGCTTTTCTTTTATTAAAACCTGCTATCTGTCATAAGTATCGGGGATGAATACATCTGACTACTTTTAAGTAGTAATATTAGCTATGAATCAAGAGATTTAGTGTTTTAATTTCAGAATAGAAGCAAACCGAAAAACTTGCAACTAATCTTCTTAAGGTCTATGTTTCTGCACTAAATAATCTCAACTCAAAAACAATTGAATAGTTCGAGAACTTAAAAACTTATATAAATTTACTATGTTTTTTATTTTGCAACCTTTTGTAGATTGGCTACAGTTTGCTGAAGAGAATTCGGGAACATCTTTTTTTTTTTTATTCAGAAATATTTTCTCAGTGCAACAATTCTACTTGAATGATGAAATATCTATTTGATTAGGTTGGTTGCGTACGTTGAAATATGCTGAATTAATTGGTGATGAACGTGTTAAAGCAATGAAAGCTAAACATAAGAGTCAATCAGAAATTCTACATCAACTTGGTTATCGTTTTCGACGTTTACATAAAAATGTTCCTGGAGGTATTTATGAATGTAATAGTAGATGTGCATGTAATAAACAAACATGTTCAAATCGTATTGTACAAAATGGTATTATTGCACAACTTCAAGTAATTATTTCAATTAAATAAATGAAATGAAATGAATTGTTTTTTTTTATCTTTTCAATAGTTATTTAAAACTGTTGGACGTGGTTGGGGTGTACGAACATTACATGATCTTCCAATAGGTACATTTATTAGTGTTTATTCAGGTGAAATTTTTACTAGTGAACAAGCTGATGAACGAGGAAAATTACTTGGTGATGAATATCAAGCAGATTTAGATTTTTTTGAAGTAAATATTAAAATTGAAAAAAGAAAAGAACATGAGATAATTGTTTTATTTTTTTGTGCTTTGCAGAATATTAATAATGATTCCGAAGAAGAACAGAATGGTGGCAATTTAGAACAGGATGATGAAGAAGAAGACAGAAGTGATACATCTCCGTCTAGTACTGAATCAGGTAAATATAAAACAGTCTGCAATTGTTGATATACGATTTTATGAAATAGTTTCTTATTAAACTGTTACATCGTGTTTCACATTTTAATTCTGCAGGCTTAGAACAATCATTCAGGAATAGTCGAGATCACTTCACAAGTCTGTTTTGTCATATAAATCAAGAAAATTATCTAAATTGGAACTGTATGCTTTACCCAAATACTCACTGTTGACAAATGACTTGTAGTTTGAAGCTCGTCCAGTTTCAAAGAAATTCGACTGATAACTCTTAAATTTGAAAAATTCTTATTCTAACCGAATAAAAGATTCGGCTAATAAATGAGCAAACATTTTGTCAAACTTATATTATATCAAAGAATAGCATCTAAAACGAACCAACATCTTTATAAAAAGTTCTTTTTGTTTATAAGAGGTCGCAAAATATAATGGATATATCTGGTTCGTTGACAATCTAACCAGTACGATGTGAAGTAATGAAATTCAGGTCTAACCACAATGTACTAGGACACATAATAGTAATCGTAATTTAATGATATCGAATTAATTTCCATTATGAATAGCTTTGAATTTTTTTTTCTCAAAAAGATGTAAAATCAAACAATTGATTATCTGATGAATAAATAATTCTATTAAAACAGACTTTAAATATAATAATTTCATTTCAATATAGCTAGTACACGTCTTCGAAATGCTAGTCTTCAATCACGTGCACGTGAATTATTAAAAAAAGATGGAAAAAAATCATCGAAAACAATATGTGAAGATAATGATAATAATTCAACATTAAATCGTACATTATTACCTGATTATGATGGTGTTGTATATACACTTGATGCTAAATTAGTTGGTAATATAGGACGATATTTTAATCATTCATGTTCACCAAATATAGCTGTACAAAATGTTTTTGTTGATGTAAATTATATTGAATTGTTTATTATTTTATATTAAAATTCTTTTATTATTAATTAGACACATGATATACATTTTCCATGGATAGGATTTTTTGCTACAAAAACAATTCGATCAGGCACAGAATTATGGTATGACATAAAGAAATTTTAATTTATAAAAAAAAAATTTATTTATGTTTTTCTTTGTTTTGTTTAGTTGGGATTATAATTATACAGTCGGTGAAATAGCTGGTCGTCGAATGGATTGTCATTGTGGTTCAGCTGAATGTCGTCGTCGAGTTCTCTAGTCTTTGATCATAATTAAATAGAACACAACAAAAACAAAACAGATTTTGTAGAATAGTGTCTTTTTCTTTTCGGTCTTGTTTTCTTTTTTCCATTTTTTTTTCTTTTTGTTGATAAAATTTTGTTTCTCTTCTTCTTCTTTTTTTTGAAGAATGAGAAAAACAAAAACAAATTTGAACATATATATATATATATATGTATACATACATGTGATCATTATTCGATTTTGTGCTTTGTAGATGTCTCAGATGGATTTATCAAAGGGTAAATCATGACAGAAAAAAAAGAACTTTTTTTTATTCTTATTGAATAAAATAGATAAAAATGAAATTTTTAAAATAAATATCTAGAAAGTCTTCTAAATCTTAATTGGAGTGATTTATCATGGTTTCAACATTTCAATACAGAATTAAGTCAAGAAACAGCATTAGCTTATTTTTGTCAAATAGGAAATCCATTTTATGATCGATCGAGTTTAAATGAACAAATTTATATGAAAAATCTTCCAGTTGAAGCTATGGTACGAGAAAGATTCATTCATTTTATTAAAAATTCTATTTTTTTTTGCTTTGTTTAGTTAAATGCAACGGGTATTGAATATGCACTTATACATCAACAAGATCCAGTTTTATATATTATTCGAAAAAGTTTTCGTGAAGGACCAAATGAATGTACGTAGTCCAACATAAATAAAACGAATTATTAAAAGAGAATATTTGATACGGTGTTGATCATCTCGACGTCGGATAATTAGCGACCTATTCATAAAAAACTATCCTTTTCGTCATTTCTAAGCTATCGAGGATAGATTCTTAAGTGTGACTTGCCAATTGAATTGATATTTTCCTTATTAGTAAGTTCCAAAGAGACATTTCATCCAGGTTTTATTTCTAGCTCGACCTACATATACATTTTTTCTATTAGGAGTGATATCTTTAATGGTCATGTAAGACCTACTTCAGTTTGTCATATTCTGACGACTAATGTAGGTTTACATGAAAATTATTGAGTAACGATCATTTAATTCCTATTTTTCGTTAAGAACATAGTTGTGGAACACATCAACGTTCCGAGTAGATGTGTCGAGCGCATTGATATTGTTAGAATTATGTTTTTGTTTTGTTATGCAGGCTGATTATTCCAATGTTCATGAGGTAGATATATATTACTATGGATATAATCTATTTGCAGAGTAGTTTTGTTCTGATATGTCCTTGGTAATTTTTCGTTTTAATTCAAAATTAAATCGAACTAGTATGAAACTTGCTTATATCTCAATACTTGATCATAAAATTCGAATTTTTATTATCTATTCAACACTATATTACAATGATCTCGAATATATATATCTATTTAATGTATTTAATAAACTATTTTTTAGTAAGGCCACTTCAAGAATATTATATTCTTGCACCAGGTCATATTTATCAAGCTCCTGATGCAGCATCTGTTATTAGTCATCGATTGGTAAAGATTCTATTATAATGAATTATCTTTTTTTTTTTATTCATTTGATTGTTTTAGTTAACTGCTGTTCATCATTTTGGCAAAGCTTTTGATGAAGGTGATAATTCTCATATCGTAAACGAAAATAATCTTTATTAATTTATCTTTTTTTAGCATCACAAAGAGCTGCTTATCATCCTTCATCAGGTTATTATTGGAAAACAAATAATTCATCTGGTTTGTTTCTTTTAATATGTTTTAAATTAAAAAAATCTATCATTCAATAATATAGATGAATTAACAAAGAAAGATTCATCAAAAGATAAAGTCTTAACAGTTACTCAACGTGCTCGTTTTGATGCAATATTTCCTAATTATCATGAACGTTTTCGACCACGAATACCAGCTGGAACAACTGCACAAACTGCAATACCTCCTTCAACAACGAATAATGAACCTACAGCTATTGCTGGTGGCGATACTAATCTTCCACGTACGTAGTTTGAAGATTAAAAACAAAAGCATAATCAATTTTCTACTTATTTTTTTTTACATCATAGGAAAAGAAGAACGTACACCATCTGATTCACAATCAAATACCAGCGAACGACCTATGATCGAAGTTAAAAAACAAAAAACTCAAAAATAGAATCATTCGATTTTTTTTCTGTATTATTGTATATTTCGTGTGAAAAGAAAACATGTCATAAAATAAACGTGAAGAATAACAAAAGAAATAAAACTTAAATGTTTAAATTTTTACTCGTAAATTTTTCGTTTTTCTGAAAAGTAATCGTTGAATAAAAAGAATGAAGCATTTCCCTTTTCTTTCTCTCACATGATATGTTCGATCGGGCTCAATTTCTTGTATGAATACTTTGGTCAAGGTTGAAGTCCGTATATTTATCATAGAAAAAGATTGCAACTCGAAGAAAAACAAATAAAGAGTTTTGTGGGAGAAAAGAACTTTTGACGATTTTTGATCTTTTCTAGAAGTATTCTTAAGATCTTGTCAATGTTTACACATGTTATACGACGTTGTTTTGTTCCTTGTCTTATTCGACGATCATTTTCTATAGTTGCAAATAATTCTACATTACCTTCATCACCTATTCGTATTTGTATTGTTGGCAGTGGTCCAGCTGGTTTTTATTTGACACAAAATTTACTTAAACTTCGTCAGACAGTTCCAGCAACAATTGATATCATTGAAAAAGCACCTGTACCATTTGGTCTTGTTCGATATGGTGTTGCACCTGATCATCCTGAAGTAAAAAATGTTATACATACATTTACAAAAATAGCTGAACATGAAGATGTACGTTTTATTGGAAATGTTCATATTGGTAAAACAATTGAATTAAAAGAATTACAAGAATTTTATCATATTATTGTTCTTGCTTATGGTTCATCTGTTGAACGTAATTTAAATATTCCTGGTGAGACAGCATTAGAAAATGTTTTCTCTGCTAAAGATTTTGTTGGATGGTATAATGGTAAAATCAAAAAAAAAACAAAGAAATGTCTTTTTTTTAAATTTATACTAATAGAATTTTTCAAATAGGTGTACCAGAAAATTCTCAACTTCGACCACAACTTGATCATACAGATCGAGCTATTATTATAGGAATGGGCAATGTAGCACTTGATTGTGCTCGAATTCTTCTTTCATCTATTGATGATTTAGCTAAAACAGATATAACTGATATAGCACTTGATACACTTCGTCAAAGTCGAATACGACATGTAATACTTGTTGGTCGACGTGGACCAATGCAAGTATCATTTACTATAAAAGAACTTCGTGAACTTACTAAATTAAATGGTGTAAAATCAATGTTAAATAAAGATGATTTTAATCAAATTGATCAAACTATGATTGATAAATTAGAACGACCAAGAAAAAGATTAACGGAATTAATGTTAAAAACAGCTCAAACAAGTTTGTTTAAATATTTTAAAATTTATAATTATTAATTAAGAAAATAATTTTTAATGTATAGAACAGTCGAAAGATAATGCTGAACGATTTTGGTATTTAAAATTTTGGCGTCGTCCAAAACAATTAAATGGAAAAACAGTTGTTGAAAGTGTTGATTTTGAACATACAAAACCTGTAGCTAATTGTGATTTTTCTGATCCAAATCTACCCGTTCAACAAAATGGAACTATAGAAACAATACCATGTGGTCTTGTTATTAAAAGTATTGGTTATTCGGGTATCCAAGTAAGATTTAAGAAAATTTCTTTTATTCTTCTCATTCATTGCGAACATAAATATATGTTATAATCGATAATGTGGTATAGAGTGAGACAGGGTTAGTATGTTTGTACTTAGACGCCATCTTTCCGTTTATTGATGTTGAATTATTTGTTGAATAGTTTAATTTGAATATAGATCGATCCATGGTTACCATTTGATGCAGAACGTGGTATTATTCGAAATCGACAAAATCGTATCGATGATCGACCTGGTTTCTATTGTACTGGTTGGATTGGACGAGGAGCTCGAGGTGTGATTGCTGAAACAACAACAGAATGTATGACAAGTTTTATTTTTACTAATAGTAACGTTGATTGTTTATTATTTTTATTTTAATATTCTAGCCCATACAGTTGCTAAACGAATTATGGAAGATATTGAACAAGGTCGTCTGACTAATTTACATGATGTTAAATCAGGAGGTGATGGTTTAATATCACTTGCTAAGTCTCGTCAAATTCGATGTGTTTCATATGATGATTGGAAAAAACTAGATGAACATGAAACAAATCTTGGTCATGCCAAAGGGAAACCACGTGAAAAAATAGTCAATATTCAAAGAATGCTAGAATTAACTGCAAATAAATAAAAAAAAAAGCTTGTAGTTAAATAGTTTATGTGTTTGAGCACTTGTTAGAC